CTCATGCATAAACTGGGATCACCTGGAAAAATAAATTTTTGTTGTTGGTTTTGGGGGAGTGCCAACTTTATATATTATTAGAATGACCCAATGCTTTATTCAATAAAACTTTGTCACAATACTTTTGGGTCAACAAATGTTCCGCTGGTGGTCTTTTGAAAAAAATCTTTGAGACTGATTCCTCAAGACTGCAATTGATTGACTAGGCCCCCCATTTTCGTCACTACAAGTTATTTTATCGACCGTACTCAGCCTATAGCCCTTAAAAATATATTCGTAGGACTAGGAAAGTCTAAGTCTAAATTCTAATGTAGAAAAGAATTCCATTCCCACCTAAAAACTTGTGTAGGCAAACGAGTATATATGACCCAATTGCATATGTGCTGATCGTTCTAGACTGTAGAGAGTATGTAGCACCGGAAAGAATAAATAAAATTAGGTAATTTACCATCCGAGGGCGGCGAATGCAACAGGAAGTAAAAGGGCTTGAATTCCGATTCCAGAACAAAGTAGATGCAATGCTGAGGTATAGGCATTGCCTTTTCTGGACTCGGTGATAGGAAGCCAAGCATCTTGTGGGTTAAGCTCTCCCTCTCCCTCACTGTCATGTTCTGAACCACCTTCTGAGTAGCTCTGCCTCTGCCCATGTACGATTGTAGAGTTGTTATCGTGTCCGTTCATTGGCCTCTCTGGGACTACTGTGATCGTTTGCAGGTACTGTTTTTGGATTTTGGCAATAGCAGAGGTTTGGTGGTGGTGGTGGTGGTTAATTCGTCCTATTGCTGTTGATGTTGGTGGCTCTGCAAATACTTCAACCACCTCTTCCATTGCTGTTCTCTCTACTCTCTCTCTCTCTCTCTCTCTCTCTCTCTCTGTCGAGTAAACGAGTGTCGGTGGTATATACTATATGGAGAAGAGAGAATGCAGATTGTTATATAGAGATAGTGCTGAATGAATGTGCGAAAGATTTAGGATAAATTATATCTAAATCCCCCAACTTTGTCATTAAAACACATAGACCCCCTTAGATATGACATATTACACTGATACTCTCAAAGTTTGTATGCATATAACACATAGATGTTACCATTAAAAATGGTTCGAAACACTGTCAAAATTTAATTATGTCACCATATTTTAAAATTTTAATTCCTAAAATACCCTTATAAAATTAATTAGTACTAACCCCCGTAATTCTATACACTGCCCTTCTCTCTTTCTCACATCCACAGGCAATAGCATATACGGTCTAACCTTCCAAGCTTCTCTCTCTTTCTCCGACACCAAAGATGTCTGGTTACCCCCTTACAACTCACTTGTTTACAACGACTACGATTACGGTGCCCCACCATCCCAACCCTACTTCTCCGCCCCTTAAGGCACTCCACCACCAAGCCAACCAAACGCCGCCCCACCACCACCTCATGCCATTCACCCTACGACCCAATTGTCGCCCCATATGCCACCTCCTCAGCCCCATACGATGGCAACCGAAATAAACCCCACTTCGCCGCATACGGTGTTCCACCACCACCATCCTCGGTTTTGGTTTATCCTTCTTCGTGGGCTTAAACTTTACTCCCTAGATCAAAAAGTAGAGAGCGACATAGAGAGGGAAAAAAACCACTTCATTTTCCCCCCCTCTCTCCTTGCTAAATATTTGTCATCACCGCCATGGAATGCACACAGAGAGTGATTGAAAATTACTGAATTTGATCAATCCATAAGTCAATTCTCTAATAATCACAAAAATCTACTCCACACTGTCCACCTTGTTGCTACTGTCACTATTGCTGCTGTCCTTGGAACCCCTGATTTTGTGTCGCTAATGAACTACGATGGAGAAATTCACTGAAAGATCCCAATAAAGACCCATGACCTTGGAACCATTGCCATTAATCTCCCGAATCAAGGCGACATTTTTCACCAAATTATCAGGAATTCTGGACTGGTGATTTTGATTAACCTATTGAATCAAAGCTCGATTATGAGCTTTGGTGGTTGCGTTAGGGTTTGTTGGTGATGGTGTGGTTTGGTGGTTGCGTCAGTGTTTGTTGGTGATGGTGTTGGTGTGGTTTGGTGGGTGCGTTAGGGTTTGTGAGGTGTCCTCCATACTAGAGTCCACTGCAGACGATGACTTAAATGTAGTGGTGGGTTTGATGGTGGCCACGGTGGTGTAGCGACGATTTAGCAATAGAACACGTCCATAGAGAGATAGAGATAGAGAGAGAAGGTTGAGGAGTACAGTAGGAAGAAGAGATGTGGGCTTAGGCATTAGGTTAGCGACTGAGAAGTATATCAGGTTGGGTTAGGTGGGGGTTGAGTCTAACTATGATATGATATATGAGTTTTGGTATAGGCTAGTTTTATTTATTTTCAATAAGGGTAAAATAGCCTTTCTAAAAATTCTGTTAAGTGTGTTAGCTGACCATGACTTACAAGGGTGTCAGTGTAATATGTTATACCTGAGGTCTATTTATTTTAGTGACAAAGTTCTCGAGGTGTATATGTAATTTACCCAAAGATCTAAATAAACAAAAATGAAGGCATCCGTGACAACTGACAAGTACCAAACACTACTTAGGTGTTGACAAAATGGGCTTGAGAGTAGACTACGGTACATTCAATAAAATTTTTCATATCATACCAAAAATTTTAAATTTGTAAAAATAATTACAATTTTAGTGATATATTTATTAAATTTATGAAATTATTTACAATTTCAATGGGTTACCTATTAGATATCGGTTATTATCAATTAGTAGACAAGATAAGACATTAAAATGACATATCAAATAATACATCATGATTATTAGTAATTTTGTTACTATAATGAAGAGAATGTTTACAATTTCAGTGATATATTTACTAAATTAGTGAGAATATTTATAACTTCAATAGTATATTTACCAAATTTGTGAGAATATTTATAACCTTAGTAATATGTTTACTAAATTTATGAAATTATTTATAACTTCAATGGATTTTTTTAGACATTTATGGGCATATTTATTAATTTAATGGTATTTTTTACAGTAGTTAATAGTCCATGATCGATCATTAAATATGATCGATCGATCAATACACACATATGTGTGTTTAATTTATGAATATTTTACAACTAATTCAAGAAGATATACAACTTCAATAGATCAGTTATCATTTTTATAAGAATATTTACAACTTCAATGGATTATTTATGGAAATATTTACAACTTCAGTAAATTGTTTACTAAATTTGTGAGAATAATTACAACTGCAATGAATTGCTTACCAGATTTATGGTAATATTTACAACTTGAATAGTTTTTTTACAAATATGCAATAATATGATTCGATGTTTATTTACTGCAAAACCCCCTTATAACACTGCAATTAATTCTTATTTGAAGGCATTTAAGTAAATACATAATAATTTATCTATCATATTTATTTTCGATTGATCACAAACTCACTTGCCCTTTCAACTTCTACATCTGTAACTCAATAAACGATCATTAAACATATTTGATCTATCAGATGTCCCCTATATTTCTAATCAGCAACAATTTGATCGATCAATATAGTGATCTATCATATTTTTTAAACTGAATTAGATTAAACTATTCATTGCACTTTACATTCTCATTATTGTTCGATCCTGTTAAAAACATTATCAGGAGTCATAGAAAAAGTTTCTAACTTAAATGATAGCCTCCCTGAGGTGTATTAGTGATGTAAAGCAGTGTGACGTCATGTCTTAGAAAATACCCCTTCCACAGACTTTTCGTTTTTTCAAAAAAAAAATTCAGAAAGTCATGGAAGGAGAATGGAGACTATAACAATCGCTTTAATCTACAGCTCGCCATAAAGTGGTGGTTGAAAACCTAGATATTTGTTTTAAGTGGTCCAGGTGATTTGAATATTATTATATACTTAAGTATTAATTTTGAGGGGGTGTTTAGTGTGCGAACATAATTTTTAGTAACTCGAAAGTCTCTTATTTAATATTTTTTTATAATTTTAGAGGTCAATTTTTAATATTTATCAGATGACATGTCTTAAATTTGTTCAGATAGTCAATATTTGAATTCGAATGAATAATCGACACAAATTTAATCACTCAATATTCAAAGTCGATAAAAAATCCCAAATTATACAACGCCGCCGCATTAGGGGTAAAAAATCTCATCACCCACCATTATCAGCCAAATTATGAATGAATATTGACCTTAGTGTTTCCCATTACGTCACTTAGCTGCTATTTGTTTGATTTTGGGCTTACATACCACTTACTAGCTACCATTTTTTTGTTGAGGATAGTAGATTCTAAATTTAATCTTTGTATATCTTATTTAACCACAATCAATGTTAAGTGTTAAAAATACATGAAACAAATAACGTGGCGGAATCCTATCACAATCGCATAACAATACAAACTTCATTCGATAATAAATTAGAGTCACCTTAAATTTAAAGGTGGGTTTTTGAATTCCATTGTCTCAAGAAGATTTACAAAAATAAAAATTTATCTGCTCTTATTATTTTATGATGTACTTGGTAGAAGAATAGATGAAAAATACGATTGATATACTTTATATACTTGAAGAAAAGAAACTCTTTTTTCCGACCTCAAAAAAAAATGATCGATGTATCCAATCAAATTGTATTACCATCAAATAAAGGAGAATAATCAATCTATTCTTTTGTAGAATATCTTCCAAGCAAAAGCCATTTACAAGCAACTGTATCACGCTCAAACAAAAGAATAGGAATCTCTGCCCTCCTTTCATTTAATAGTTAACTAGCTACAAATACAATGACGACTGGGCCAACCGCTGCCCACCACTTTCTGCCGACGAATATAGAGTTTTTTATATATTTATTATTTTATTTTATTTTGCTATCTTCCTGATTAACGATTGTAAATAAATCGATACATGATTTGAGGTTGACAACAAATTTCATTTAGGTACCAAAGTCCTATACCTATAAAAAACCCTCTTGCTATGGCCTTCTAGTTTTCCTGTAGGCACAATTATATAAGGGCTAAATATTGTATAAAAAAACACTTTGTAGTATTATATATCGTTTCTCTTAGTATAATAAAAATTGACGGGTGTATTTTTTTTTTTTATGATTTCATTTTACTTTATTGTTTTTATACTCGATGACTATGAATGAATCAAACTAAGATGTATGAGTATTAATCAATTTTGATAAAATATCATTTTTTGGGGAGGTACCATAACCTATCCATTATATAATTTCTTATGTGCCCATGGTACGTATTTGTATTTTGTGGGCTGGAACGAGTTAGTGGCCAGTGCTTTCCCCTTTTTCGCATTTACTTTCACTAATCTTGTTTTTGCAGCATAATATTTATTTTACCGTTTTTTTATAATTTTTAAAAAAATAAAGGGTAAAAAAGGAAATTGAATATGGTAAGGGCAAAGAAATTACATGCTTAGAATTCTTGCTCCAGGAAATGGTGGAACAGAGCTCCAAATTTCGATATAAAACTAACTCTAAACCAAACAACTTTCATATTTCCAAATTAGAGAGAAAGGGAGAGCGGGAGCAAAAGAGAGATGCTACGAGGAACGTCTCAAATCTAGTCCACTAGTTTCGTGAAACCATCGCTGCTTTATCATCAATGACTCCGATGAATCGATACACCGGAGGTCAAAATTCGCACTATTTCCCTAGGTCATCTCCTCTTCAAGTTTTCTTTCTCTTTCTAAAATTTCTCTTCAATCAACATTATGATGATATAATACCATAGTCGGATGATCTTTTTGATTTTTCATCTATATAATAGCAAAGGTCAGAGGCAGGACCACATTGAG